TTTAAATTAACTTAATCCTAACCTTAATTCAACCTAATCAAATTTAAATAAATTCAATTTAGATCATATTAACTTTTAAATTAAAATTTTAAGCTTATAACTCTAGTTATAATGAATAAATGAAATCGAGTATTTGCACCGGGTGCTATTTTGTCAGTTGCACCAAGATGCCCACATCCCATCCTAAAGTATATCCAAAGTCGAGAACCAGGACTGGGGGCAACCACTGAATTTTGCGCGTCAAATCATCAACTGAGAAGAGTTTACAGTCAAAAAGCAATGGGTTACAGCCAACGGGCAATCGAAAGCCACCAAATGCGACGAGCACATACCCACACTGCCAAAAAAAGATGCAAAGAAGAAATATTCACGACGGAAGAAACATTAATAACTTTCGTCTTTAGAAAGTCTCCGTTAAGTAGGAAAATTTTATATATAATATATAATTTGTAATTTAAATATAAAAAAGTTATGTCGTTTACAATTAAGATATAAGTTCTAATTTAAAATCTGTTATATATGTTTGATGGGATAATCAAGATTTAAGACTAGAGGGGACATAATTATAAGAGAAAAGTAAATATTAATTTCGATTTAAAAAAATAATTAAGGTTTCAAACTTGAAGTGTATTGTTTTATTTAATTAAAATTTATTTCAAAATTTAAAAAATTATTTTATTAAATATTGATATATTAAAATATATAATAAATTTTAAGATCAAAACAATATATATAATAAGTTTTTAAATTTAAATATTAATATTTTACAAAATAATATTTTAATTTTCAAAAATAAGTAAATATTTTAATTATTTTTAAAAATCAAAATTGATATATATTAACTTTTAACCATAAATTATAAAAAAAAATTCAAGCTAAATAAATTGTTTCAGTATCCACAATTTTTTATTATTAAGGTAATTTATAAATTACAAATAAAAATACTCTCAAAATAATGAAAAAATAAGAATAAAATAATGATAAAATATGAACACAAATTAAAAATAATGATAAAATGAGAAAGAGATGAAAATAACTTTATTTTTTCTAATGTAAATTATCCAAGTCCTACAACTTAATATGCAAAAAATACTAATTTTCAAAATTCAAAAGATAATAAAATAAAATAATCGTAACATAAATTAAAAACTAAAAATTAAATATTTCATAAATTGATTAAAATGAATCATTAAGGATAAAATCGTTTTAGAAATACAAAACAAAACAAATATACAAATTTAGATTTGTGTCGTGAGTGATTAATACAAGAATAAATATAAGAGAAAAGTACATATCAATTTTAACTTCAAAAAATAATTAGAATTCTACATTAAATTATATCATTTTATTTAATTAAAACTCAATTCAAAATTTGAGAAATTATTTTATTAAATGTTGATATATTAAAATATATAATATATTTTTAAATTTATATATCAACATTTAATAAAATAAAATTTCAATTTATAAATATAGATTGAAATTTTAGTTATTTTTAAAAGTTGAGATTGATACACACTAATTTCTAAATATAAAACTTAAACTTAAAACTAAAATATTTATTAGCAAAGTTGATAAATAATCATGAAATAGGTGTAAAATAAGACCAAAATATGATTAGCATAAGCTCTCTAGAACTTGAAATTAGCAATAATTCTTCCTCGTTACAGGTAAAAACTAATTGAAAGACTAAAATCTCTCTTTCAAACAAATTAGAAATCGAACGGTATAATCAATTAATAATTATGGTTAAGAAAATTAAAAGTCAAATAATTAATAATTTAAAATCCAAAGCCAAAAATAATTAACAATTACAATAATCAATAACTATAGGAGAACTATCTAATTTTTTTAAGTATACCTAATTATAAGTTATATAAAAAAAAATAACTTTTTTATATTCTCAAATCTTTTCTCATCTAATTCAAAGCTCGACTCTAAGATCTTTAATCTAAAATTTTAAAATTTTAACCATTGAACCATTCATTTAAAAGAAAAACATCTTAATTAAAAAAATAAAAAGTCCATCTTTATGAAAGGCATTAAAGCAATAAAGTTATATTTTGAATTGGTAAAAGAAAAGAACATGAGTTTAGATGATAAATTATTATATAGTTGATAATTAACTTTAAAATTGTCTTTTTTACCTAATAATTAAAATATATACTTCAATTTTATTTTATTTTAAAATTGAAAATCACTAAAGATTCTCTCTCTCTATATTATGAATTATAGAAAAAAGGATAAATAAAATTAGATGATAAATTATTATATAGTTGATAATTAACTTTAAAATTGTCTTTTTTACCTAATAATTAAAATATATACTTCAATTTTATTTTATTTTATAATTAAACTTTTTAAAAAATTTCAATATTTTAAGGGGACATGCGCTCCGCCCACCGAGTGTGTTATCACTTGCCGGCAATTGATACAGTTTGACAATAGAAAGGTTGGAGAAAGTTTTTACTTATAAAATAGTTAATTCCAATCTTCACCCCAAAATATATAATGAAAAAATAAAAATTATGATATTTTGATAATTAAAATACAAGATTAATAATAAAATAATTAGAATATTATTAATGAATCAACATATAAAAAAATTTATTAATGATATTAAATAATATTACAAAAAATATTAATATTTAAAATATTAAGATATCTTAATTTTTATTTTTTTGAAAATATATATTAAAAAATAAATTGGTGCCTCAGGTTCAGGTTGCGTAAATGCAAGGCAATGCGGATTCCTTGAATCTGCATATGCATTTGAATTTATATTTTTTTTGAATCAATGTGATTTTTTTTTCTTTGTTCTAATCACATATCCAATTGAGACATGCAAAGGGAGCCCCACTTCCCAAATGCAGAAGATATATAGGAATCAATAATTGATAGGTTCCCATTTGCAACCGGCCACATGACCAGTGACACAAATTATTGTAAGGGAGAATCATAAGACTTTAATCTATTGACAAGTGCAAGCTCCATTTTATATGTTAGATTTTTTAAGTTTTATAATTAATATCTAAAAACTTTAATTTTTTTAAATGCATTAATTTGATATAGGGGTACATCTTTGAAATTACCCTAAGAGATATTAATTTCAAGATATATGAAAGTTCACCCAAAATTTCTTACCCATCTAAACCCCCCCCAAAAAAAAAAAAAAAGTAGAGGAGAAATTTTCCTATAAAAACTTACAAAACTCAGACGTATAGAGCATCTGAATTTGCTCTTTTTCTAACAGTGTCGCAGTAAGGATTCCTAACAAAATATTTTTCTTAATGCAAGTAGAGTCCCCATGAACGATTTCTGTTGATGAATTACAAACGAAATCACAAAATAAAGGAATCATAGTTCGTCTTGTTTGATAAAAAAATAAAGTTTCTCTACTAAAATGGCAATGAGATAATAATTAATAGACCAAACATACCCTCAAAAATTTGTCAATCCTTTTGTATTAAAGGCAAAAGATTTGGATTCAAATATATCTCCTAAAATATTCTTGCCAATCAAAATTTATAATGCAATAAAGTTCTAACAGGAGTTGTTTTTTTACATAATGTTATGATAGTGAAGTGATACATGCTGCTGCCTTGAAGTCAAGCTATAACTGTTGTTGACCTTATTTACTTTCTAGCAATTACGGAACGAACCCATTTTTCATGGATGGACACTTACAATCTAATCAATTCTTTTACGCCTGTTTAGTTGAAGGAGATAGAGGAAAGGAGCGTTGGAAGTGGTTTCTAGTTTTTAATCATTATTCATAGTATTTAGGAAATTTACTTTGTTGACTTGTTTCCTTAAAGTTAAGGCACAACTAGTGTTATTATTATTTAGGTTAGCGTATTAACATTTACTTTAATTAAAATTATTAGTTAATGTTCTAAGTAACTTAGTAATCATTTTTTTTTTATTGAAAGTAAGAGATCATGAATTGAATTCGAGTCACATGACATGCTGATGTGGTGAAATAAAGAATGTGAGATAATTGCCTCTCATTGTGCAATTAAGATAAAAAAAAAATTGTTAAGGCATAACTAGTGTTATTATTATTATTTAGGCACTACTAGTGTTATTATTATTTAGGTTAATAAATTAATATTAAAGTTAAAGAACTGCTAGTATTATTATTATTTAGGTTAGTAGATTAATATTTACTTTAATTAGAATTGTTGTTAAGCCTATTTATGACTTATTTCTTTTTGAATAATTAAGAAGAATTTTCATCTTTTATACTCATCGTTGTATATTGACCCTTGGTTTTTTGTTTAATTGAATTCGATCAATTCCCCGTAATTATCAAAGTTCTTCTTCTTGAATTTTGTAACAAAAGGAAGAGAAGTAGAGGCAATATACCTTTATTTTCCTTCATTTTTTTTTTCCCATACATTTGTTTAATTATGTTAAAACTATAAGCGAATATAAAAAAAATAAATTTCCTCTTTTCTCCTCCCTTTCCTTTCCTCCAACTTTTATCTAAATAGAGAATGTTATACCTTCACCTTTCCTCCCCCGCCAAACCAAACAAATACATACACTTTTGAAGTTCAATCCACATAATATCTTAACCAAAACTTTGGACTAGGCAACCATATAGATTCTAAGCAATCAATAAGAATCAGTAATAGGTCCCCTCCTATGTACCAAAAAAAAAATAATAATAGGTCCCCTCCACTTTGCAACGGACCAACATCATTGATACAAAATTATAAAGTAGATTCTCTTCATTGCCTTTTATCTACCTTTTTATGGAAGATGTAATCAGCTCTGTCAGATTGTCATACAAGTACAATTATCCCAGTATTCTTGATGCCTCTGCATTCACAATCACAGAATAGATGGGAGAAGCTCATGGTTAGGATTTAGGAACAGTGGTGGAGGCAGAAAATAAATTGAGGGGGGTAAAAGGTTTTATTGACAACTTGATTCTTAAATATTTTTTATGATATTAAATAATTTTTAAAAAAATTTTAATAAAATTAAGAAATAAATATATATATATTTTTTTTCATATTTCTAATAATTTTTTTATTAAATTAATTGTTTTATTAAAATAAAAATTATATCTAACTATGATAATACTCAAATAATAGATCTATTAATTCAAATAATTTCAAAATCTTATTATTTCCATCCCAAAATATTTATTTATTTATTTTGCAAATTTGTTTATTAAAAGTTATCATTTTTTATCTTAAAGAACTAAATAATATGAAAGAGAGAACATGTAATGATGATGTACTTAGAAATTGAAATCATTAATTAAATAAAGATTTAAATATTTTATCATTCAAGTTTTCATTAATTAAATCACTTTCTACTATAAAAGACAAATTAAAAAATAAAATCCTAAAACAATACAAAATCTTAAAGGAAGAAGAATTTTGAATTTGAGTTTGATTAAGATGTCAATGCCTAATTTATTCAAGGTTAAACCCTCTATTTACACCCTATATATTATTTTTCTTGTAATCAACACCCTCAAGAATTTTTATATCAATCAACACTTTTTATAATTTAAACCTCATAAAAAATCTAAAAATTAATAGTCAAACCCTCCATTTGTACTTGACTTTGTTGGTAATTTAGGGCTTTATGTGGGTTTCAAATTATTGAGGGTGTTGATGAGAAGTGAAAAGTATGAAGAGTGTTGATTGTAGAAAAAAATAATGTGAAGGGTGCAAATGGAAATTTTAACTTTTATAAAATATGCAAGAAATTCATTAATTTATGTTATAATATTCTTATATTTTTCAAAACATTTAATTAAATTCTAATATTCTTTTCATATTTAAAATGGTAGTTGTAATAAAAATATTACAAATTATACTAATTTTAAATTGTTAAGTATGAAAAATTAGAAAATTTATAAGAGTTAAATAGAAATATATTAAAGTTGTCTATGATAAATATATTATTTAAGAACTTTAAAAGCAGGAAGAATAATATATATACCAAAATTGAAAATTTTCAAAAGCTGATAGGAGGCCGCTGATTAGGAAGTACATCTAACTCAAATCTATTTAAGTTGTATTAATTCAATTGCGGATTCTTTTTCTTAAAATTATATATAGGGATACAAGCTCGCGAGGATTGACCCAGAAGTTAGTAACAAAATAAAACAGGGGAAAACCTGCTCCCTCTGGATCATTAGTAAGATGGAGAGATATACAACAATGGAGAGAACAGAGTACAGTCGCGTCAACATTATGATTAACAGCGGTGACGGTAACATTATGGACAGCTCACAGGATCACAGCACAAACATAGGGGCTCATTCCGGTGCTAGGACCAAAAACACCGGCTTTAATGCTGGAGCTAACAACTCAGGCCCAGGTGCAGGAGGTATCAACAACAACCATGGCCCTGGTGCCGGCGGTATTAACAGTGGCGCCGGTGCTGGATCCATCAACGCTGACAGCATTAAGGGAGGTATATGATATGTGTCTCTTAATAAATTTATTTGATCATGGACTCTACAACAACAAATAGATTCATGAATCGATATCTTGTTCATGTCTCACCCTAGTATTTATAACCGTGTAGGAGTCCAATTTGAGTACCACAATCCAATTCCAATGCAGAAGCAGTACTACTCTCCTCAGCCTACATGGTTCCCAGATAATCAAACTGGATCCATGAATTACCCGTTGCCCAATGACCCAATTCCCTATGACCCTACAAGATGTTTCAATCACAACCCAGATTTTGATCTTCACTCCTATTATCACTCAGCAGCCGGCTCGAGATATCAAAACTCCCTTTATCACCATGAATCCTATTATCACCATAAATCAACAGCAAGCTCAGAATCTGATGCTGAGGGTGAGGACGTAATGGATTATAACAATTTGGATTCGATCATTCGCACTGCCCCAAACAAAGGAGTTAGGTCAGAGCTAGTGGGGAATACGCTCTTTTTATTTCTCGATGACTAGAGAATGATCCAGATTAATTTGTATTCTGTATGTTGGTATTTGATCCAGTAGGTCTAGATAAATTGCCTCTTCATATGTATAAGAAGGTTTTATACATATATATCAAGTAGCTAATGATATCTCTCTGCAGCTAAATCGTTGTAACTTGCACGCTTATTAGAAGAAAATATATGCAAAACATGGAATGGCAATCTCTTCTTCTGTGATACTCTCCATCTTAGGTAGAATCATGCTTGGGATATTTTATTTTGTTATCCAACAAAACACCAAGAAATGTATCAGTTTTCGCTAGGCACAAGTTACAATTCATATCATCATCATATTCTAGAACAAACATCAAATTGGAATATGTAATGCAATCAACTTAATGTAAGGGTTTGGTCCATCAATAACGAATAAATATAATCAACTTAATTTATAACAAAAATAATATAATTATAATATCATATAATATTATAAATTTATAATAAAATATACCGATATATAATTAATCCTTTCATTTAAAAGTTTACTTATAATATTAAATTTATTTATAATATTATATACATTTATTTATCTAATAATATGTTATAATTATATAATATTATGTTATAATTATAATTTTATAATTTTATATGGTATTATAATTATTAGATTGTTGGTTTGTAGTGGTGTGAAGGAAGATGCCGATCCATATTGATCGATTTTAAAAAGCAAAGCTAACAAGATGCTCGTTCCTCGTTGCAATGTCTAACCGAACTTCCTTACACCCTTTTTTCGCTCACCGCAGAATAATTGGTAGGTCCACATTTGCGACCGGTCATTGATACAAAATTAGAAAGTAGATTCTTTTCATTGCCATCCTTTTATTTTTTGGCTTAAAGTCGATTCACTACATCTGACCCCAAACCTAGACAAGTTGCAAAATTCAATAGCAGATTCCTTTTCTTAAAGTTAAAATTATATAATGGGATACAAACTCTGCAGATTTGAGTCACAATTTGGTTAAGAAAAACAGAGAAAACTGAGTCAAGAAAATGTTGTCTCCCGTCAACAGCTTCCTGTTTAATAACGTTGATGGTGACCATAACATCATCGACAACTCGCAGGATCACAGCACAAACATAGGCCCTCAGGCCCGCACTAAGACCACAAACATCGGCTTTGGAGCTGGAGCTACCAACAGTGGCCCTGGTGCTGGCGGAGTCAACAACAACCATGGCCCTGGTGCTGGCGGAGTCAACAGTGGCCCCGGTGCTGGATCCATCAACGCTAGCAGCATTGAAGGAGGTATATAATGTCTCTTCATCCTTAATTTCAAAAGATTTGTTCGTCTCATGCACCCTTTTATTTATGAGTACGCAGGAGTTAAATTTGGGTATGGTGATCCAATTCCAAAGCAGTATCAGTACTCTGCTCTGCCTACTGTGTACGCAGATAATCAAATGGGATCCATACTTGATTCCATGCTGCATCGTGGCCCTTCTACTTGGTTCAATCGCAACCTGGATTTTGATTATTACTCCAATTATCACTATAAATCAGCAGCTGGCTCAGGTTATATTTTGGATTCGATCACCCCCTAATGTCACAAATGGAGAAATTAAAGTAATACGGACGGGGAATAAGCTAGTTTTATTGATTCCAGACTAAATTATCAATGGACTAGAAATGGTCCAAATTTGTTTTCTTGTTGGTAGCAAAACCTGCAGGCCTTAAATAAGTGCCTTGTTTTTAACATTTTAATGTATATGAAGATCTTATAACTATATCTCTCTGCCCCTAACTCTATGCAACTTGCTAATTAAAAAAAAAAAAAAAAACAGTGACCTGCACATTATTCT